AAGGTTCAAAATATCCTCTTTTTTACTGATAAAGGCTAAGTTGGAGGGCTTGCTTAGTATGAGGGCCAGACGGGCTGCTACTTAAAGTCCAGGATCGTGCAGACTCTCCCCCCCCCCCCCCCCCCCCCCCCCCCCGTCAGGGAAACAGGACTGGTGTGGCCTTCCCACATCGGGGGAGGGGAGGAGGAGGGGAATACTTAGGGCAGAGGAGAATTTGTGTTTCTTGCAGGCAGCTCGCTCCCAGGAGGAAGAAAGGAAAACCTGAGCTGAGCACGCCCAGTATTGTTCCCCAATTCACCAAGTAGGTTAAGCCATCTCCTTCCTCTCCTAGCCACTGCAGAACGTGAGAGGAAGAGAGTCCAGGAGGCCACTCTTCACAGAGAGGAGAGACATCAAGGAGCTTAAGAGGAGTTCACCCTTACCTGTTGGCAGAGTGTCGTGAAAAGGGGATAAACAGAACTATCAGAGTTCTTGAGCTCAAGTCTCTTACATATATGTATAGTCTAATCCTATTGTTTTAAATTGATTTTTATGAAGATATTTGTGCACGACTTGTGTAGATAAAAAAGAAAGAAAAAAAATGCATGAAAGTAAACGTCGCGTGACTTCCACTTCCATACAGGAAGGAGTGGTCTATAGTTCACCAAATCTTCTGCCAGGAAAAACTGGAAAATCTAGACACCATAAAAAAAAATCTTTTAAAAGCGTCAGAGAGCTGGATGAAGCAATAAGGATTAGAAGGGACCTGAGTCTGGACAAGGGAGAACTGCAGGGAGCTGAGCTGCTAATTGGCAGCCACGTTTCCCCTGGGGGCTCCTCATCCTGCAAGCTGCAGAGCAACAGCCACTTCCTCGAAGGACCCTAACTTTATCCTCCATTACAACTGTCTGGTAGCATGCACTGCGATTTGTAATTAAATGTTGATTTAATTGAGTTTTTATCTGTCTTTACCTTTAAACTATAAATTTCTTGCAGTCAGGAAAAGAGTTTATCTATCTTGTTTACTGTTGTATTCCTAACTTCCAGCACAGTGCCTGGTACACAGTAAATATTTAGTTGAATTTGTTGATTTGAGTTGAGTTGAATTGAATTAAATTGAATTGAAAACAGTGAATGCTTTCTGGCCCTTTCAGATTTCCTGGATTCCAGAAGCACCTCTTCCCTCTGGAGGCCCTCTTCCCATTAGACTTTGTCAATAGGGTCAAATTCAAGCTCCTTTCTGTCTAGAACTGAATCCTCTGTATCTTGCTCTAATATCTCTAGGGATTGGAAGTGGGTGGGGTTGGGAGCCTTACTATCAACCCTCTAAACTCCCAGGTCACACCCAAACCAACACCCTTAGGGCCCCAGGCCCCTCTCTCCCTAACCACAGAAAGTCCTGAGGCTCTAACAGAAAAAATCTAAGAACTTCTACCGTGAGACCCTATCAGACATCCAGTTTATGTTTAACTCAACCTATTTCATGATCTCTCCAAAGCTCTGTAGGTTCCTGAAATCCACTTGCTCTCAAACACCTACCTCAAGATTCCAAAACCAGGCTTGTCCACCTTCAGTCCCACTGCCTCGCCTCTAGGCCCCATCTCCCTCATTCCCACTGGGCCAGGGCTTCCACCCCCACTAGGGGTTCCACAAAGTCCCCAACCCGAGGGAGCCCAAGCTCCATGAGTGAAGACGCTGATAGGAAAAAAACTACGTGGGACCTATTTAAGCCCTCAATTTCGAGTTACTTTAAAAGTATGTTTGTAAGTGTGACTTGACATTCTCCAAACTTTATTCCTGTGCATTTCAGGTCCTCCTTTCCCTTTCTTTAGTATGAAGAACCGTGACTAAAACCAAGGAAACTGGGTTCTAGTCCTAGCTCTGCTACTGTGTGATGTTGGACCCTTGTTTTCTGATGGCACTCTGACTTACTCGCTTTCGAGTTTGGTCCTTTGATGTTCCCAGCAGGGAATTTTATTTTCTTTGAGCACCCTGAGGCTACGAGGCTCAGGGAAACCAAAACACGGCCCACACTTACAGGAAACTTGCATATAAATCTGATGCCACATAATTAATTGCAATGAGAAGTATGCCTAAATTGAGTCCTACCCCCCCCCCAGGATCAAGTGACCAAGGAATCCAAACCGCTCATGAGAGGCTCTTTTGGTGCCTGTAGAAGAACCCCTGGTGCTGTGGGTGAGAACAGAGGTCCTGGTGCCAGGTCGCCCCTCTCTGCTACCTGACTAGCTGTATGAGACATTCACCTTGAATAAATTACTTAACTTCTCAAAGCCCCAAATTTCGTAGTTGTCGAGGAGACAGTACATCTACTCCATAGATTCGTTGTGAGGATGAAATAGACCATCAGATGTCAAGTGCTTAGAACAGCCCTGGGCACAGAGGAAACCTCTTTAAATACTAATGCGACAAACTCACCCAGGTATGGAGAGTTTGAAAAAGCTTTCTCCGGCTTAGGCAGCTCACACGTCTCCTGATCAGAACCTGGGCCCCGTGGCACTGGATACACACCAATGGAGTGGCCTCAAATACCTCCTTTCAAGGATCCATATTGGCCACACACTTTTATTGTCATATTGAGCTTTAAACACTCAGATTAATTCAGTTGACTAGGTTACACCTTTCTGTGTTTACGTTTAGTCCCAGATTGTGCTCTGAGGCACCTGAGGGCCAGGGCTGGGGTTTGTTTCACCTTTAAATCCCCACTGTTTCACATAGTGCCTACAGAGTATAGTCCTCCCTCAGTATCCGAGGAGGATTGGCTCCAGGACCCCCTCCCCACCGCCGCAAGTACTCATATCCAAGGATGCTCAAGTCCTTTTTATATAATGGCTAGTATTTGCGCATAACCTACTCACATCTTCCCATATACACACTTTAAATCATCTCTAGAATTCTTACAATACCTAATACAATGTAAATGCTGTGTAAATAGTTGTTATACTGTATTGTTTAGAGAATAATGACAAGGAAAAAGTCTGTACATGTTCAATACGGATGCAACCATCACAGGCCTTTCCATCCGCAGCTCATTGAATCTGAGGATGTGGAACCCAAGGACACAGAGGACCAACTGTATTCCATAAATGTCTGTTTCATAAATGCATGGATTTGATTTTGAGTGTTTTGAGTGTCCCTGGCAGCGATCTGCAGCTCATCTTGGGGGTGGGTTAGACCTGCAGATAGCCCAGCTCATCAACTACTTTCTCCCTAGTTTCTCAGTGAGTGACATTTTCTGACCTCTTTGCCAGAATCTGGAAGCAACTTTCCAAAGCCCACTACACAGAGGAGGCCCTTGCTCAGAGGGCTGTGTACCCTACTAGGGTCTTCCCTTTTCTCAAACCCTTATCAAATCTTTCTAGTCTTTCAAGGATAAACTGATAACTGATAAATGGATGATCAATGTCTCTCCCAGTTTATTTCTTTCTTTTTATTTAACAATCTACTTTAAACCTTGACCAAGAAATGGGAATTTCAAGAAAAATGGGGTAGATGTTTTTAGTTAAGGCCCTAAAAACAAGTAAAGAAGTTCAAGAAATTATACAAATGGAGTTGCAGGCAGAGAGAATCGCTAGACACGTAAGGGTGCTCAGTCCCAACACAGGGGCTTTTCATTGTTCCCAAATTGGCCTGTGGGCCTGTGAGCTCCTTGGGGGCAACACCAATGTCCTCCTCGTGGAGATGGATCCCGGACCCAGCCCAGCGCCCAGTCAGAAGAGCTCTAGAAATGCTTGTGAATTGAGCTAAATTGGAACTTCCAACAAATTAAATAAGGTCAACACCACCATGGCTCATGGTCAGGCTCTCTGTCAGTGTTTCTTCGAGGGAAGTTGGTAAATGAAAGGCAGTCAGGCACAGTGACTTTGGACCCAGAGTTTGAGATTCAGACTTAGATAATCCTGGGCTCAAATCCCAGCTTTGCCTGCTTCCTTGAGTGCGCACAGAGCCTGTCCCCTATTTCACAGGATTATGAGAATGGCGTGAAATCACGCGTGTGAAATCTACATTAGCTACTGCTAATACTTTCCCCACATTACTTGAGACAGAAGCCATTCTAGAGCTTTCTCACTTAGTCCTCGTACAACCCAAAGAGCAAGGTGCTGCTTTTTTTCTTTTTCTAACAACTTACACACACTTTTTTTCCTTGATGGAAAGGCTTCTCATGGTCCATAACGTGTTTTGTGTAGTTGATCTCAGCTTTGTTCACATTAACTTCAGTGAGTCATACTTTGGTTTTCTGTGCTCAAGACTCTGCTCAGTTACTGCTGTCGCCAGTCGGTTTATTCTGTTTCAGGATCAAGGTGGGTACTTCCATACAGAATCTTATTTTTAGTTCCTTCTCTGGCAGTTCTTTCCTGGACTCTTAGCTCTACACACTCACACTTGCGTGGAACCAGCAACCTAAAGTCGCCGAGATAAATCCCCCTACGTGGACATCACATGATGTAAATCTACCTTCTCCTTCCTGGGGTCACCAGGCGCCACCGCCTTGGCTGTGGGGTCAAGTGGGCACCTCCAGCCCTGCCCTCGAGGAAAGAGCTTTTAACCACTCTACTTCTTAGAGGATGTTGAGAAATAGAGGGGTTAAGAAAAGTCCCCAAGGTCATGCAGTTAGTGAGTGGCGATGTGGGGACTCACGAGCAGCCCATGGTCTTCACAATTAAGGGAGAGCTATGGAGTGCCACGCGTGGCAAGTAAGTACTCGGTAAAGGTATGCTATTATTATTGCTGTTGTTGTTGTTGTTGTTGTTGTTGTTGTGTTTGGGGAGCTCAGAACCTGAGTTCCCGCAGCTCCTGCACAACAGAGCAGGAACCACAGCTGGCCTCAGCATTCAGACCTGGGCCACCCTGGCTTGTTTCTCGGCTGTTCTCTCCAAGGCCTGTCCTGGGCAGCCACACCCAGCGTTCTCACCACACCCTTGTGCTCTTGCCACCCCAGAAGTTCTGGCCACACCCTGCCTGCTCCCGGAAGGCAAACAGGGCCACGGAGAAGGGCTGCATTGTTGCGCCTGTGGTCTTGGCCCTGGAGGTGGAGCGCTTTGGCTTATAAATGCCACAAATCAATAAACAGTACAAGTCAGAATTGAGGCCCTTTTGAACTTCAGCTGACCTCAACTCCCAGCCAGTTAGTCACGAGGATACATGCCCAGAGAGCTGATTCCGGGAGAGAAAACTTCCATACGGCATTTGGTCAACTACCTTGAAGCAGGGAGCTTACGTCTGGAAGAGGTGAAGTGAAGGGGGAAGTCATGTTCTCCAGGGGAAGACAGGAAGTTTGCCAGTGCCACTCAGGGCAGAAAAAACTGTCCTGGCACCAATAGAGATCGCAGTAGTGAGCGGGCACAAGATTCCTTTTCCACGGAGGGCTGGGCTGCTTGAGTAGGTTTAAACACAACAGCTAAAATTTACTGAGGGCTTCCTGCGTGCCAAGCACTGTGCTGAAGTCCTCACGTGTTTTCATTTATTGCATGTGCTCAAAGACCCTCTGAGGTGGATTTTACTGTCTTCATTTTACACATGAGAAAACCATGGTACAGAGAGGGTGAACAACCTGCCCAGGGCTGCTCAGCCCAGAAGAGGCAGAACTAGAATCTGAACCCGGGTAATCTCTGATAGCCGCTCCCTGGAGGCTGGCATTGGGGTATTTCTCTCTCTGTTTCCCCTCTCATTTAATTTTCAACCAGATTTCTTATACCAAAGTATATACAGAAAAAAGATCACTTGAAGGGGCGGATGAGGGTCTCCCGAAGCCCCCTGGGACTCCTCAGGGCAGCTGGGGAATGGACAGGATGTTGGAGAAACTTGTATTCCCAGGCAATCAACTCTGTTGCTGCTCCTAGTCTGAGAGACCCCCATTAAAGGTTAGGCCCCTCACCCATCATTATTGCAGAGTGTTACAAGGTGGAGGGAGTGTCTGGGACCGGGACAGACCCCCCACGGAGCCGCTCTCCTCCCAACATTGTGAAAGGGACACATTTTGCCAACCCTGGTCTCCTGGCATTTCTGTTTGTGGTGCAATTTGAAGTTTGGCCCTCTGGGGTTCCTCCTGTGAGCTAATTTCCTGTAAAGGATGTGACAAAGGTCACTCGAGAGAAAACAGCTCAGCCCACGTTCCAAAGGGGCAGTGTAGCAAGTACAGCATGGGCCCCTGGCCTTACAAACCAGGTGGAAGGACCCGGGTTCGAGGCCACCCCGAGAGCTGGGCTGGTTTGAATAGCATGCCTCCTGAGTGCGGTGAAGAAAATCCCTGCCTCCAATGTCTTTGTGGTTTCCCTGGAGTCAGGAAGTGCTGCTCTGAGCTGGGGCTTATGCAGGTTTATTGGGCTTGTGGTGATCCATGCCCATTGCAGGTCCTCCAAGAAATGTGCTGGATCATTCAATTGTCTTCATTTATTGGAGCGCTTCTTTGATTAACACACTGTAAATACTTCAAGAATGATAGACACAGTTTTAAGCTCAGGACTTTTCGTGACAAGGGTCAGGAGTTCTGGTTCTCAAGAGCCAAGTCATCTGTGGTTAAAAGGGAATGAAGGAAATGTGGACTGTGGGCGCCCCCTGCTGGAGAGGGGGACCCAGAAACTGGGGGCCTGAGTTCAGAGCCGCCAGGTCTGAGAGTTCTTGGAGCATTTCCTGCTCCCCTCAGATGGCTCTTCCACGACTGGATTGTATAAAAGTAGCGAAAAGCAACCTGACTTAGCGGTAAAGAGGGTGGACTCTAGGGTGAGACTGCCTGAGTTCAAATCCTGTCTCTCCCACTGCTGTGTGACTTTGGGCAGGTCACTAAACATCTCTGTGCCTCACCTTTCTCATCTGTGAAATTGGGATGATAATGTTAGAACTTACCTCACAGAGCAGTTTTGAGATACAAATGAAATAATATGTCAACCACTGAGACGTATATGAGGTAATATGTGTAAACAAGTATTATAAATGTTAATTATACACTATATAATTATATATGGTTGGTTACTGCTATTATTAATGCTATTATCATTATTCTCATCTTTACTATTAATAAAATCTAAGAGAAAATTTCCCTCCTCTCTCTCAGCCCTAAAGGTCTCTCTCAGGGCCATCAAAAATTCTATCAATTTTAGAGGCTGGCCCCGTGGCCGAGTGGTTAAGTACGCGCGCTCCGCTGCAGGCCGCCCAGTGTTTCGTTGGTTCGAATCCTGGGCGTGGACATGGCACCGCTCATCAAACCACGCTGAGGCAGCATCCCACATGCCACAACTAGAAGGACCCACAACGAAGAATATACAACTATGTACCAGGGGGCTTTGGGGAGAAAAAGGAAAAAAATAAAATCTTAAAAAAAAAAATTCTATCAATTTTAGGGGCTGGCCTGGTGGCTCAGCGGTTAAGTTCACATGTTATGCTTCCACAGCCTAGAGTTCGCTGGTTTGGATTCTGTGTATGTACCTATGCACCGCTTGTCAAGCCATGCTGTGGCAGGCGTCCCACATATAAAGCAGAGGAAGATGGGCATGGATGTTAGCTCAGGGCCAGTCTTCCTCAGCAAAAAGAGGAGGATTGGCAGCAGTTAGCTCAGGGCTAATCTTCCCTAAAAAAAAAGAAAAAACACTTCTATCAATTTGGGAGTCATTAACAGGCAGGGAGGGAGTAGCGTGTAGATAATGATGTACATAAAATACAGCCCCCGTCCCACCCCTCAGCAAACATTCAAATTACTGTGAGCTGTCAGTCATTCACACCTTGGCCTGTATCACAGGAAACATTCTTCTAGACACCAAAGGAAGGGGAGAAATCATGAACACAATTCCAATAATAAAGCTTTCTCAAAGGAAAAGGGTAGAACAACTTTTGTATCAGTCAGGCACTTTCAAAGTTGGTTGGGTCGTTGGCCTTCTCTTTGATAGCCAGATAAGCTGTAGACTGCCTTTTATTTTTGTTTCTGGGGAAATTTAATAAAGTTTGGTGTCTGAGGCAGCAACAGGAACCCCAATTAAACAATTAGTTTTCTTGGAAACTTAGAGATTATACGTATGTATATCCACATATATGTACATGCATTGTTGTGTGTGTATGCAAACATGTATATCTATATATTACATTTACAGCATTTTCATATATACATATATAGTGAATATTGTTGACTATACATACATACATACATACATACACACAGAATGCCTTAAGGATGTTCATGCCCTTTTGACTGTCACATTGGTGGTCGTGGGGAAGCAGCTAGGCACGAATGAGGTTTTGATAGCTATCAGGCTCCACAGGGCACTGTATCCTTAAGAAGTTTGGAAGCTGGGCAGGCATGGCTTAGAAAGGGAGGTAATGATGATGATGTTGGCGGTGGTGATCTAGTGCATCTAAATGATGCAGCTGGCAAGTGGAAGACCCCAGTAGCCTGATTTCAGGGGTAGCTGGTAGCTGTAGTAGAAAGAGCTTTGCCATCCTTTCACCTGGAAAAACTTGTGCCTGGCATCATTACTTGTGGAATGCCTTTCCCGGCCCCAGCTCCTGAACCAAGTGCCTTCTCCGAGCCTCCACAGCACCCTGTACTGGCTGTAGCATTGACATCCTCCTCTCTGACTCCTCCTTCAAACGGGAGCTTCGTGGGAACAAGGATGTGCCTTTCCTTTCACTTCTGCATCTCGAGCACAGAGTCAGCGTGCAATACATGTTTGTTGTGTGGATGAGTGGATAAGCAGACAGATGGACACATGCATGAATGGACAAACGAATGAAAGAGGAGTTAAATGAATAAGAGAAGCAGAGGGCCAAGAGCCTGGAATGAGAATTATTCCCACCTGAAGCCTTCCAAAGAGGCAGAGAGCACCTCGGATTCAATGTCTGCTGGAGGCTGCCTCCTGGTAGAAAGAAGGATCCATGGCAACAGCAGTGTACCACAGCCCAAGGACACAATTTAGTATTCTGAGCCAGGAAGCCTTTTTTCTGAGACCGGGGAATCTCCTAGCTGACAAGATGCTCTCCAAGGCAGCCAGAGCTAGGTGGGAAGTCATTTTGGATGAAGCTACCCTGTGGCAGTTAAAAAACCCCACAATTCTATCAACATCTAGAATCTGTGATTAGAGTATTTTTCTATACCCATTATAGTTCAAATTTCACGTCAGCCCTGTGAAGTTGGCATGATTATTCTACAGATCAGAAAACTACACCTCAAAGAAGTTGGGTGACCTGCCTGAAGTCATACTGCTGGGAAGTAGCAGAGCCAGGATTCAAATCAAGCTCTTGGATCCAGTATCTCCCCTGAAGCTGTTGGGGAAACAGGAATGATGAAGCCGATGCCGAAACAGTGAGGAAAGTCTCTCTGCTGGTTGGGGAACACTCGCTGCTACAACAAACTCTGAAATTTCTAATGGCTCTAACACTAGAATTACGTTTCTCTCTCATGTGAAGTCTAACGTGGGGCTCCTGATGAGCAGATGGCTCGCCTCCGAGCAGGAATCCACTACGCTCCTTCCATCTTGTCATTCCACAATTTCAATATGTGACTTCAAGCCACCATGCCCATTGGCATCAGGCTGGCAGTAAGGGGAAGAGCATGGAGGATGGGAGGTTTTATGGGTTAGGCTGAGAAACAGCACATATCACTTCCAATCACATACCTTTGACTGGAACTCAGTTACCGCATCAATACTTAGCAACAGTGAAACAGCGAGGGAGGCTGCAGAATGCGGTGCAGCTCGTGCCCAGGAAAAAAGGGAAATGAATCTGGTGGATCTGGGCAGTCTCTGCCACAACCCATATCTGACAACTAGGAACAGGAGATTGCAGGACAGAGTGAAAGCACAGGGCGGACCTCCACTGGGGACATTAGCCCCCAGGTAAGCTCACAGGAAGCTAAACTTTCTGCTGCACCTCAAGCTGCAAATGTACCCAAAGCCTTTCTGTGGTGAGTCTTGATTGTTCTGCCCTCTTCTTTGGGGAGCTACTCGTCTCCAGTTTCAACCTTGCCAGTCCCAGTAACCCCAGGCCCCGGCGAGAGATGGGCACATGCCCCGGGTGGGCCCAGTCATAATTCTTCTTCCCCTTAGAATCAAGGGCTGGTTTCAGGAAAGTCATGTGATCCAAGGAAAGCCTATTGGCATCCTTTCCTAACCACCTAAGAAGGCTCTTACTTCTCTGGCTACGAGGCTGTAAGGATGAAGAGTGGAGGGGTCTAGCATCATGCCTGCAGCCTCATGGAGACAGCTGGAAGAATGAAGGCAGCATGCAGAAAGGACCTGAGCAAGAGAAAGAGATTTAACAGTTTAAGAGTCCCTGGATCCTTAAGGCCGTTCCTTCCCTCTCATTTCTGTATTTTGATTATATAACCCAATACTTTCTCACTTTACTTAATCTAGTTCAAGTTGAGTCTCTGTAGCTTGCAATCAAAAGAGTCACACTTAACACATCCAACGTGCCAGAAGCCAAGAGACATTCAGCAGGTAGGTGGGCTCCAACGAGAAATCTTACCTCCCCAAACTTTTTTGTCCAAGGCTACCCCTGCTCACATTTTCTCTTACACACACACACACACACACACACACACAAAGTCTTCTATACACTGTTATTGGTTGAATTGTATCGCCCCAAAAAGATGTGTTGAAGTCTTAACCCCCGGTTCCTCAGAATGTGACCTTATTTGGAAACAGGGTCTTTAACACATGTAATCCAGTTAAAATGAGGTCATCAGGGTGGGCTCTAATCCAATATGACTGGTGTCCTTCTAAAAAGAAGAAATTTGGGCACAGAGACAGACATGCACAGAGGGAAGACCATGTGAAGAGACAGAAACACAGGGAAGACGCCACATGAAGCAGAAAGCAGAGATCAGGGTGATGCTTCTGCAGGCCAAGGAACGCCGGAGACTGAGAGCAAAGGCCAGAAGCTAGGAGCGAGGCAGGGAACAGCTTCTCCCTCGCCGCCTGCAGAAGGAACCGTGCAGATACCTTGATCTCAGACTTGTAGGCCTCCAGAACGGGGACACAATAAATGTCTATTGTTCAAGCCCCTAGTGTGTGTCTCTTTGTTACAGCAGCCCTAGGAAACTAATACACACACTTAGTTTATTGGCAGATAACCTGAGACTTGACCAGAGTTATCTATCCCAGGAAGAAAAGCAATGGGTATTTTTCTTTGTTGTCGTAAGCTCTCCGGAAAGGCCTTGAGGAATTCCATTTCTCCTTTCATGTTATATATTTATATACAGTGATTGAGCAAATGAATAAAGAAGAAGGTTAAGGCAATGAAGTACACAGATCTTTGCTATTGTGTGTGCATGCGCGCGTGTGTGTGTGTGTGTGTGTGTTTTGGACTTGAGGGAGGAGGTTGCCATAACGATGGTAACAATAATTACCATTTATTAATCGCCTACTTTGTGTCAGATACTGTTCTTGGGCCATTTTAAAGACATCATCTCATTCAGCTCTGGAAAGAGACAGAAGTGTCTCTCGATGTGAAGTCAGTTCAACCTGAGCTTGAATCCAGTTCTGCTCCTTATGAGGTATTTGACCTTGGCCATGTTGATTAACCTCCACGGGCCTTTTTTCTCAATGGAATAATAATTTCTATTTTGTGGAATTTTTGTAAGATTAATACAATAAAATGTCTAAGTTGGTTGGCCTATAGTAAGCCCTCTAATAAATGGTAAATATTAATATTCATCTTCAGAATCACCTTATATGACAGGCATTTATAATTCCTGTTTTATAGATAAGAAAACTAAATCCCATACAACTAATAAGCGGCAAAAAACTGAATTAGATCTAGATCTGTCTGGTGGCTTCAAAGCCAAGGTCTTTCAACTATACCCTCCTTGAAAAGAAAATGGCCCAAAAAGCAATAATTGCTCAGTACTACAACTACAGTTTAAGTGAATTTGAGTTACATGTATTTGAAGTTGCGTCATACAAAATATTCACAAGGTCTCATTTTGTGTTCTAAATGAGAAATCATGCAAATCCCCAAAATTAAAAAAGAAATCAAGAATTGCTCAAGTTTGAAGCTGCTCAGACAAGTAAATTTCAAACTGTACCACTTTGGTTCTAAAACAAAATCCTCTCATCTTTTTGTCAGCATCTCAACAGCATCTATGCTGCTCTTCACATGGCTCAGAATTTTCATCAAGTGATTTTGGTGACAATTGTGCAGTTACTATATTTTAAAATACTTTTAAAAATTCCTGTGACCACGTCATCTGAGTTTTCATAATGTGGTGATGCAGAAAAACCAAAAGCCATGTGTTTATTCCAGACTTTGGATGTCATTAAAGGGCTCTGAAGAAGACCTAACAGCCACTATGATATGATATGCTTGCAATTTAGCAGATTCATTTCTGCAAAATATCAGGGATCATGCTGAAGAAATGAAAAGCACCATTAAAAGGAAGTTCCAGGCCAATGGGTATAGATTTATGTGCTCTGGGAACATATTCCACCATACTTTAAATTTATTAATGTGGGAAAATTTGCTTTGAATTACAGGAGTTTTGAATAATGCAAAGTCTTCAGGAACGCATTTATTGCATAAAATAAACCCATGCTAAAGATATCATCACTTGCTCCCAGGAATCAAATATCCAATGTACTTGGTAGCTGTATTTCTCACTATGATTTATAAATTGAAAGTTTGATTTGTACATCAGTCTCTAATGAGCTTGATTATCATGAGTTGCCTCTGGATATCCTGAAGAAAATCAGTTTCCCAGTTTGTAAGCTGAGGGCCTGTCATTTTACTGTGGCCATCTGGTCTCGGGTATGCAATAGCATCTGGCATACCCCAGTGGACCTCCGTTCCATTTTTCCATTTTTTCCACAGCATGGACAGAGAGCCACGGCTTTCTGACAGGCAAATGGAAGATGTACAGTGGCATAGAGTATACGGTTTACAATAGTAGCTTCCATTTATTAGCTCTTTTTTGTGTGTCAGGCACAATTCTAAGTACTTTAGATACATTATTTCATTTTGTTGACCCAACAATCCATGTGTGTAGACAAAAGAGGAAACTAAGGCATGAAATATTGAGTAATTAGTCCAGGTCATTAGTTAGGATGTGGCAGAGATGATTGTTTCAATGTCTATAATCTACTTTTAAGTACTTCTGTATGTACAGTGTGATATATGGTTACTTTGGTTAAGCACCAACTCAGGTGGTCCATCCTAGTGAAGAATCCACAGGCTGGGAGTGGTCAGTGAACATTTGGTCAGGAAGCCTGGGCCCCAGAGGCAGCTACCGCCCATGCTTCAGTTATTTGTATCTCGATCAACATCGAATATGTTACCAGTCAGCATAGCGAACGCCGGAAATGCGTCTCCATTTGTGACTCTAGTGGTTTGTTAACTAACATGATGGATTTTAGAAATGGGCTCTGATTAGAGCAATTTATTTAAAATAGGTGGCTTGCCTAAAATATTTGAGATACTCCCCCCAATTGCACAAATGAAATACGTGGCCCCTGGACTCCTGTGCCTTTCACCCTCAAGGATAAAGCTCCAGGCTAAAGCCCTCTCTGGTTCCAGGTGCGGCCACGGATGCGGAGGACCCCGGCTCAGCCTCCATCCAACACCAGCTGTGAAGGAAAGACAACCTTGTGTCCAGACGTTCAGAGAGTCTGCTCTGAGTGACTTTATCAAGCAAGGGGTGGATGAAGCACCTAAAGGGACAGAGAGCTGGGGCTTCCTTCAGCCTAGAGAACAGGTTCCAGAAATGGTTCCATTCTTGCTTGCTAATAAACTTTTGCTTAATAAATATCTATCTGTGTGGCAGAATTATAACCTGGTAGCAAGGCTGTGAGGAAGGGAGTTACTAATCCTCACTTAACCTCAAATCTCTGCAGTGACTATAGAAGAGACCGAGGGTTGTGTCTGACTAAATTGACTCCGGTTAGTTTCAACACTGGTGTTGAACCCACAGCTGTCTGTCTCCAGAAGCAGTAATCTTAACCACTAGGCTAGAGTAAGAACTCTGATGGTTAAAAAAAAAAAAAAAAAAAAAAAAAAACTCGTAGGTAAAATAAGGGAGGAATCTTGAGATTCTGAGAAATAATGTATAGCCGACTTCAAATAGGACCATATCCCAAGATGTTGATCTCTCTCAGAAACGACTGGCATGGTTGAGGGGAGAAAAGACTGGTCAGCAGTTGGTGCTCTCCTACAAGCCCCTACCACACTCACCTCTTTGGGTCAATGTGTCAGAGATGACCATCACCTTTAACTCTGGAACGGATGGAACTAGGCTCAACCCAGTTGAGATGCTCTCAAAAGGAAGTTGGACCAGGTACTTATCATTAAATGTTGAATACTTCTTTGGGAATACTGACATATTTTGAAAACCAGAACACATATTCTGTTTAGGAAGCCTTTGTGTTTATTGGAAGGGGTGGGGGAGATTTGTTACCTATTGAGGGCCTTACTTCCCAGGTGCTGTGGCCTACATCCCAGTGCTCAGCTTCCTCCATGTTCAGGTCTCTGTACTTTCCAGCTTGCCCAGTTCTCCACCTCCACCCCAATGTACTGGGCCTTGACTAGATTTTAGACAGAATTTCTTCACTTCTGGTTTCATTAGTGCATTATAGAGAAAACTACCAAGTTACCCAAAACTCCTTTCCACAGAGCATCTCAAATAGTCATCTTGACACAGATGCTGCCTTCCTTCTGCTGAGGTGATGAATTACACTGATTTTTGAAAGGGAAATCAACCTTGAATTTCCAGAATAAACTCTTTTAATGAAATAACTTGGTCATGATGTTTTATACTTTTCATACATGGCTGGATTCAGCTTACTAATATTTTATTCTGGATATTTTCATCTTTATGTGGGATTGGCCTATAATTTTCCTTTCTTATAATGTCCTTGTCAGATTTTGGTACCAAGAGTAGGCTAGCCTCTTAAAACAACTTGGGAATGGCTCCATCCTTCTCTATTCTCTGGAAGAGTTTGTGTAAAATTGGTCTTGTTTCTTACTTAAAGGTTTGGTCAAATTCTCTGGTGAAGCCATTTCAGTCTAGAGTTTTCTTTGTGGGAAGAATCAAATTACAGATTCAATTTTTAAAAATATTTATAGGACTCTTCAGATTTCTCATGTCCATTTTGGCATGTTATTTTTCTAAGAATTTGTCCAATTCATCTAAAATTTTTGAATTTATTATTGTTTAGAATATCATCTTATGATCTATGTAGCATCTAAGGTGAGGTCTCCTTTTCCATTTCTGATATCGGCAAAATTCTTCTCTATTTTGTTCATGATGAGTCTCACCAGAGTTTTGCTTGGGACTTTGCTGAATTTCTCTATAGTACATTGTTTTCTAGTTGATTTTCATTTTATCTTCATAATTTCCTTCCTTCTGCTTTCTTGGGATATAATTTGCTGTTCTTTTTCTAATTGCTTGAGACAGTTTATTGATTTTCAGCTTTTCTGATATAAACATTTAACACAAATTGGACACCTATAGAAATATAAAATCCTATACTAACAACCAAATTTAGCACCCCTAGGAAATTTTAAAGGTCAAGATTGTGTCCAATAGGAATTAAATTAATGCAGCTCAGTATAGATTTTACCATTACATTGTTTGAATTCTATCACTCAAAAATCTTGTTAAATGTGGCAAGTTGAAAACATCGTTTACAGTTTTGCCCCTACCTCCACCAGTCCCACCAAAATGACAGTGAATGGTTAAAAAAAGATGTAAATCCACAATGACAAAGGGAACATAAAGTGGAAAAGAAAATAAATATTTCTGGGAGCTGGAAAGCATATGGACAAGTGATTACTGACTTAGCTGTCTGAAGGATGCTGAAACCAATGTTAGCCCTTGGGCAGCCTGGAGGCAGTGATTTGGGTCACAAAACCTCGGAGAGACTCGGGAGTTGGTGCCTTCAGGGTGAAAAAGAAGGTGAGAGCAGAAGACTGGTTACAAGTCTGTGTGAGAAGCACACAGATACACCCTCTCCCCAAGGTCTGCCGACCTCTACCCTCAATATGCTAAGTTCAGAGCCTGACTCTCTAAAGAAGGTAGGCCAGAGAGACTCTGAGATTCAGTGACATCAGGGCAGGGCACCATAGAGAGGACTGGGGGTCAAGTGGAGTTCTACATCTATAACTGTGGACCCCTATTCCCTTTCTTCCAGTCTAGTCTCAGAATGCTGGCAGCCAGGTTTATATCTCAAATAAGAGACTGGAGGATTCCTCTCTGGGGAAACTGACTAGACTAGGAGGAAAGACCCAAAGAAACTAACAAATGGGAGTCTCCCAGTGAAAGAGCTCAGAAAATCACCTTACAGAAAAGTCCTTCCATTGGCAACTCCTTATAGCCCTCAACACCACATGTGTGTACATGCACACACACACTCACACCCCTCACACAGCTTCTAATCAGTTCTTTAGAGACTTACTCTTAAATATGAGATGGGAGCTAAGAATGACCAAACATTTGAGAAAACTTTCTGATAGGAAAACTAAGATCAAAACAAATAATGCTTTGTTAAAGAGCTTGGTAGAAACAGAAATAATGTGAGGAGCAGAAGAAAACTTCAAAAAGTTATATCTAATATGCTCAGGGAGAAACAAAGAGAAAGAAATTAGGAGGCTATATAAAATCTCATTGAAAGACCAAAAACTGAGCTCTCGGAAATTAAAACTATGACAGCAGACACGCAAAATACAATAGAAAGATTGGAAGACAAAGTTTGGGAAATACTCCAGAAAGCAGAAGAAACATCAGAGATGAAAAATATAAGAGGAGAAAATTTAAAAATTTGTAGACCAGACCAAAATTACGAGATTCAAATAAAATAGGAGTTCCAGAAAGAGAACAGAGAAAATGAAGGGATTAAAATTACTCAAAAAATAATTCAAGAAAATTTTTGAGAACTGAAGGATATGAGTTTTCATATTGAGAGGCCTCACTGAGTCCCCTGCATAATGGGCATATAAAGTCGCACACCAAGACATACCATCAAAAAATTTTGGAATTCCAAGGATAGAGAAGATTCTAAACACATCCAGAGAGGAACTAACAAGCCTCATTCTAAAGATAAAATATCAGACGTCCCCATGGCTGCACTGGAAGTTAGAAGAGCAATGCCTTCAAATTTCTAAGGGAAAAATATTTTCAACTTGGAATTCTATACCTAGCCCAAGTATTGATCATGTATGAAGGTGAAATAATTTTTTAGACATTCATGATCTGGCAGCTGCTAGAAGCCGTGCTCATTTAAAATGAAAGTGTAAAGCAAGAAAGAGGATTCTGTGGGAGAGAAAAAAAGAGGATCCAACACAGAGGAGAACTGAAAGGAATGTTGAGGTTGATAACAAAAGGAAATCCCAGGGTGACGGCTATGCAGCAGACATACAGAGCGGCCAGTGCACACTGCAGCAGGAGGAGAGAGAGCTCCGGAAAGGATATCTTTACCCGCAAATTTACACTATTAGAACGTATTGAGAGGAGATTTCCATTTCTGGTGGAAGGTTTGGGAATGACTCAAGTAGAGGTATGTAGAAAACTAAGCAAACAAATAAACAAGAAAAAAACCCGCAATAATTATAAACTCCAGTGAAAACAAATAGTTGAACAAGAAAGAAAATACAATCCTAAGACTCTATGTGGCTCAGCGATAGATATTTACAAAGCCCTAATAATGTAGACACTAAACATTGATCTTAAAAATGTATGATGGAAAAATATTGGCCAGATGGTAGGAAGGGGAAAAATGTGTGTGTGTGTGTGTGGCGGGGGGTATGTGTAAATAGAGTATTGTAACAGAGCTAAACATAATGTTTATGTAGCAGAAAGATAATAGATAATAACTAAAACTGAAAAGGTAATATAATAACAACAGTGCCAGGCACTGTTACAAGTGCTTTTTCTGAATTAATTCCTTTTGATGCTCACACACCAACCTTATAAACAGCAGTATAATCATATAATTTAGAAATATAGAACAACTCTAGAAGAAACGGCTTTAAGAAAAAGAACAAATCGCCCCTGTGCAGATGAACTCAGGGATGGAAAAGGACTGCTGGTTTTCAATAGAAGCCTTAGAAAACCATCTGACTTGTTAAACTTTGTACATGTCAAACTTTGATAAGGTTAAAAAAACAATTAATAAACACATACTCATAATAAATTATTTTTAATTAGCAAAAGGATCTACTTGTTATAATCATTTCTATGTGAAAAATTCACAGAAAGCAGCTCTCAGACTTTCCTCTTGTCTGCCTCAGCTTCTGGCGACACATTTTCCTGTCTGCAGATCCCCAGCCCAAAGAAACTGCCATCAATTCCCCCCTTCATGGAAGCTGGGCAGCTCAGTGGCATAGATTGACGGCCACTCTTCTTCCAAGATGTTTAGTAACTGTGTGCACCTACACACATGCACATAAATCAGATTAAAGACAGCTTAAACCAAAAACATCAATAATCATCATTACAAATGTTTTTAAAGCTGGGAAAACCCTGTGCAATCACCTTCCATCCAAATAATCACTCTGGGAACTATGTGGTCATTTGCTTTATTTTCTGAGGAGAAATCTATTAAACAAATAGATGTAACAATAAAACCCAATTATAACATCTAGTTTTAATTAAAACACAAAATTAAACATCACCTTTATTTTGGTCAGTTTTAAGGATGATGATCCCGCCGATATTTTTATGGAAAACAGTTGCTAATTTATAAATACTAGAGAAAGAAACGAAGTATCATGAATGCTTAATTCATTATTCAAACTGCCCTGGAGTGCTTGTTTT